GTCTTGCTCTTTGGGGCTGGGGGAAACAGTGACCCCACATTCCAGGGTGCCCAGCGCAGCCCTGGTTACCTGCACTGTCCTGGTGTCCTTTCTGGTCTCCTTTTTGCTCTCAAAGGTATTTCAGTCTGGACGATTCATGATGAGGCTGTCCTAAACACAGGTTTGCAGACTCATGGCTGGCTTTGAATTCTGGCTCTGATTCACTACTTCTGTGATCTTGGGCAAGTCACTTACCCACCCTGAGCCTCAATTTCTTCATTGGAAACAGGGTTCAGAACATCCTGGGTGATGCTGTCCCTAGTGGCAGACATGGCACAGGCATCAGCCTGAGGGGATGCGGCCAGAGCACCTGAGTCCAGGAGGCCCACCCCGCTGGGCAGGCAGGCATCTTTTAGTTCCTGGGTGGGGGGCTGGGATGTCCCAGACGAGCCATCAGAGAGGTGGGAGATCCTTGGGAGGTGGGGAGTTTAGGGAAGTTGATCAGTTTTTAAGCAGCCTGGGGATTGGTTGGCAGGTTCCCTGCCTTCCTCCGCCCTGATGACACCCCCATTGTATTTCACACGTACACTTGTCAGGAGGCCTGGTGTGGATGCTCTTCTGCCTCCCATTCACCCAGTCCTTGGTCTTCTCTTGGGGAACAGGGCATAGAATCTCTCTCACCCTCTCGCCCTCACCTGGCGCTGTGGCTGTCCTTCTGAGTTGGATCCAGTTGGGGTGGAGACCAGGTGCTAACTCTCTGAAGCGTGGCATAGACCCCGGAGGGCTGTGTTTGCACGGCTGCCCCTGCGGAGACGAGCCACACGGAACCCTCCAGGTGCCCTGCTCCCCTGCAGGCCTGCCTGCCAGGGAGCCATCAGGCAGAGAGAAGGTGTGAGCAGGGCTGTGCTCTAACCGGAGTGAGTCCAGCTGCTTCCTTGCCAAGGACGTGATGTGATAGTTTACAACACTGCCTGGGTAGAGGTTTCCTATGGGGAATGAGGTGTGAGTCCCTGCACAGCAGTTCTGTGTTGGTGTGGTACCGAGCAGGAAAGTTGATTCTAGAAGTTCTCAAGGATCCTTAAGATGGCAAACATGAACAACACTGCAGTATACAAACATGGTTCAACAACTGGGAAAAAACTTATAATAAATGGAAGTGCTGTTAAAAGGTCCCTTGCTCACTGTCCTCTGATTAAAGAGTGTGTATAGTTTCAAGGTGAAGCAGATGGAAAGTCTAGAATGCCTGGACAGCACTAACATGACAAGTACGTGCCCCTTTGGGGTCCCTTAAGTTCATACCTTTACCTTTACAGGAAGTACACTGGAGACAGAAACGTGGTTCCATGCAGACCCGATTTCAGCTCTTACCAGACCGGAGCTCCTCTCCTCTCCGGTCAGCACTCTTCTCTTTACATGTTCCCTGCACGTCCTTCTATCCATTCCTCCCTGGCCTGGTCCCGGCATCCTTCGCCCTCCACTTCCCACAGCTCGGGGGTCAGGCCTGGCCATGCGTCCCCTATGTAAAGAACTCGGCTCCTAGGCTGCTCCTCCTGTCTGCGGCCCGCAGCACAGTGCCAGGAACACAGCAGATGCTCAATAAATGTTTATTAACTGATCCCTTTTTTTCCTTTGTAATCAGGACTCTTTTTCCTCCCTTTCTTCTGCCTCCAGAAGGAGCCATGCTTCTCCAAGTTCTCTCCTAGGCTTCATTCTCTGTAGGTTCATCCATGCTGGTGGCTTTGCTGATGACACTGATTAAATAGTCCCCAGATTTACACTGTCAATCTCCACCTTGCTCCTGAGCTCCACTTCTGTATTTCACTCTCCGTGTAGATTCCAGGTCAAATGAAAACCCACTTGCCTGCATTTCCAAACCAGCTCACTTTCTTCCTCCCCCTTTAATTTTCTTGGTGTCCCTGTTCTGCTTATTAGCCGCTCCCCCTCAGGTGGTGAGTCTCAAACTGCTGGCATCATGTTTGAGTCCTTCCTTGACTGGGCACCTGAAGCTGACTGCCCCATGAGGCATCCTTTCCCTCACCCAGGCCCCAGTGCCCCTGCTGTCCCCTCGCTGAACAGCCCCCTCGCACTCCCTGGCCCACCCCACATGCTGACATGCCGTGTTGCTCCTGAGTCACTTCTCTGACCTGGGGCCACCCACACAGAGACACTCACAGGCCAGTCCTTGGCCACTCAGTCAAGACATGGGACTCTTGCTTTTGTAGAATTTGTCGCGTGATGGGTCTGCGAGGTTGGGCTTATTACTCTGTTCTATCCAAAAGGGGACTCCGGCTCAGAGAGGTGAAGTGCTGCACACATGGATGCATAAACAGCTGATAGCAACACTGGGATTTTAATCTCACTTCTGGCTCATGCCACCAGGGCTGAAGTGTAAACCTTTTGGCCAGTATCTGGGACTTGTCCTTGGTGTTGTGCTGAACCCATGGCTGGGTGGCTCCTAAGGCCTCTCAGCTCTGGCTGAGCCCCTCATTCCCGTGGCCCCTCCCCGAGTCCCTTGTCTGATCTTTGATTATGCTTTGTTCTGGGCACCGCTCCCACCCCACTGTCTAAATTCCATTTCTGTCCTCCAAACCACCGTACAAAGGCCTTCTCTTCTGATTTCTTCTCTGCCCTCCATCCTACGAACCCTGTCTGGACTCAGAATCTACTGCGTGGCAGTGAGTGTCCCCGGCCCTGCAAACTGGTGCACCCTTCTGGAGCATTCCCATGGTGCCCTTTACCGCTCTCGCCCCAAGTTGCATTACTTCTAGAATTAGTTAATTGTTCAGTGTCTGCCACCTCCAGCTACAAAGCAGGTTCCTGAGGGCAGATGTGGTCACTCTTGTCACATATCTACAATGCGTCTACCTCAGGTCCTGGCACATGGGTGAAATCTGTTAAACAAGGGGCCTACTGCCTAGCTCTTCTCTCCCGGGCTGTAGGCAGCCACACCTACCTTATCCCTATGTCCCCACAGCCCCCAGATCTGCCTTGTGTGCAGAGCCTGCTCAGTGAGTTCTGTGGAATGAGGGCATCGGGGCTGAGCCTTACGTCACCAGCCGACTCTGTCCCCCAGGGATAGGGAGTTGTGTGCAGACACTGCTGCGCAGTAAGGGGCAGTCACACGAGGTTGCCATCAGTGCCGACTGTGCACAGCCAGTCTTGACATGGGCCACATCTGATGTCTTTTCACCCCCAAACCACTGTTGCTTTTCTCCCCAGGCGCATGTCCCACTCCTCCTTTTAGGATATCAGGGTCCCCTCGTTCGGCTCCCTTCTACTGGTAGTGTCCGCTCACAGGCAGCAGGGCTGCCACCCCCAGCCCGGCGCAGCACCTTCTCCCCTGAGAGCTCTGGCCCTGTGCCCTCTCTGCAGCCGGCCTCGGGGGAGGGAAGCACATGCGGGCCAAGCAGGGCTGCTGGAGCCTCTGTTTCCCTCTCTTTGCCTCCCTGACGCTCCCCACCCTCCTCTAGGATGGCTTTCTCCTGGAGGGAGTCTCTTAGGTGTAAGCTGAGAGAGGGAAACCATGAGAAACCTTATTAGTTGCCCTAAGAGAGTGTCACAAGGGGAGGTTACTGAGGTAGGAGCGCTTTCCCAAGTAAATAACTCAGCTGGCGTCTCCTGGAGCCAAGCTGGCCAGGGCCGTGCCCCCCAGGGCACACTTGGGGGTCCGTCTTCCCTTCAGACCTGGGAGCCTTTCTCTGTTTCCCCACTTGTGAAAACAGGGGGAGGCCAGCTTCCTTCTGGATGGTGCCTTTGGCTCCTTAGACGGTGGTGCTGTCCCCAGCCTCCCCTGGAGTTGAGAACTTTATTCTGCTGCAGGGAGTCCCCGCTGCACGGAGAATAGTGGAAGGGGGCAAAATGAAGGACAGGCCTGACTTTGGGCAGGTTTTTGATGGGCCCTGAGGCAACAGTAGGAAGGAGGGCAACAATTCATTGGGCAGAAGATTACACTTAGTGTAAGAACACAAGGTGGGGTCCCAGAGTGGGTTTCCAGCCCACCAGCATGGCCTGGCCTGTGTTCCTGGCAGGTGCCCCATTTCACATGTGCACACCACTGGCTAGTCTGGGGGTCCTTGGGAGCTGGGGGTCTTGACTAGAGCCAACTGTGGACTATAATGGCCCAACCATAATGGGAAGGTCTGCTTTGGGGCCTTTAGATTTAGGGACCACACCTCTTGGCCTCTGCTTGGTGTGCTCCAGCTTCCCTAGGCTTCAGGGAGCATGGCCGGGAGGCTGCACCGTAGGAGCAGGGAACTAGAAGGTAATACAACCCCTGCAACCAATTGTAAACAAGGGTTATTTAAGTAGCTTCACCAGGTATCACACTACCAGAAGTATTACCTTCTCACAAACTGGTGTGAATCTCTGAGTAGCCGTATAAGTAGACGATAGAAGGGTGATGACAGCAGTTAACCTCCCCTGAACTCCCGTCATGTAGCAGGCACTGTGAAGTTCCAGCATACATCGCCTGCCTACTCCCCACAGCAGCCTCTGTAACACACTAGTATTCCCATTTTGCAGATGAAGAAATTGAGGCTTACAGAGATGAAGTCATTGTCCAAGTAACAGAACTAGAGAGTGGCTAGGATCTAAACTAAAGCCAGTTGAACTCTGAAAGGCATGTTTTTTACCCAGAATGAAGCCTGTAAAGATAGTGGAAACACCAAAGCCTGGAGCAGCTGTGGACTTCTGGGTTACAGGGCAATTTTAGGCTTCAGAGATTCTGACATCTGCCCTGTTCCCCTAAAGGACAATGTAAATAATGCACGCTTTCTTCCCATCTCACCTTCTTCGCTTAGAAAGCAGACATGCTCAGAGACCACATTCATCCTGTTCCACAGCAAACATGGCAGCCGCCACTTCCACTGCCCCCTGGGAAGGGTGCTTGCTTCTGAACAGGCTGGAGGTGTTCCACCTCAAATAATTTTCTTTTCCTGAAGACCCAAATACTTCAGCGATGGGTAGTGTACTAACCCGTGACTAGAGGTGTTTGTTGAGTACGAATCTTGTTCTGCTTGCAGAGAACGGCAAGTCTGTCCGCTGGAAACTGGGAGCCAATAAGGAAGTCTGGGTCTGGGTGATGGGAGAACACCACCTAGACAAGCCCTACGATGTGCTCTGTAATGAAATCATTGCCAAGAGGGCTCAGCTGAAAGCAGAGGAGGAAGCAGAAGAACCGAGGTATGAGGTCTGCAAGTTGGTCAGGCTGGCTGGACGTCGTAGGGCACGGGGCTGCCTCTTGCTCACAGTACCAGCGCGGAGAGTGAGGTGGGATCTCAGGGTCATGAACGAAATTTGCGATCTCTCTGGGAGGTTTCTGTAGACTTGGGGTGACTCCCTTCATTCCCACAAAGCTGTCAGATCAGCTGTCTCATCCCCCGACTTGTCATTCCGGCTTTGATGTGGATGTGGCTTCCCCAGCGACTGCTGGCTTCAGTCTCCTCCTGCCCGAGCAATGCAGGATAAGTGAGACATGCAGCTACTGCTGAAGCTTCAGGCCCCTGGAGAAGAGTGCTTCCATGGGGGTGGCAGAGCCACAGGCCCTCAGGTGCCTACACTGTCCTGGGCTCTGGGAATTCAGACATGAACCGGGGGTTTCCAGTGTAGGGGGAGAATCAGGCAGATACACAGGCTGTGCTACGCACTATAATTAAGTTATAAACAGAGCATTAACTGAGCCTGTCCTCCTCCACACAAGAGGTGAAATCGGAATTGAACCTTGAAAGTTATGTAGCATTTTCCAACTGCAGGTCAGGAAGGAAATTGCAGGCAGAGGGCATAATCCTGACTTCTAGACAATAGGTATGACTGGCTGGGTAATGAGTTCTTCTGAGTGTTTGGGGTACAGATAGGCGGAAGTCGGAGAGAAGGGGCCACACCCTAAAGTACCTGGGAGGCCAGATTTGGGAGTTTGGATCTTATTTGGTGGACAGTGAGGAGGCTTTTGAACGAGGAAGTGACACGATCAACCGTGGGGTGGTGGTGGAGCCCTCTGCTGGAGGCCAGGTGGCCTTAGGGAGCCTGTGATCCCTTGAGTGCTGACAGCCCTGCCAGAGCTGGTGAAAGAGAAATCACACGTGGACCTCGGTTCAGTTCCCAAGGGCGGGGGATGCTGCCCTCCAGCCCCGTACCTTGGGCCTACAGAGGTGAAGGAATTATTGGGGGCTGATCACAGGAAAGCACTGTGCTCGAGCAGTGCAGCTCCTGAACCCAGAGTTGGGCGGACCTGGGTTCAAATCCTGACTGTGCCACTCTGTGGCCTTGGATAAATAATATAATTGTTTTGAGACTCTTACTTTGATAAAGCGAGGATTACAATGCCTTCCCACCGGGTTGTTCTGACTGTTACATTAATGTCTCTACAATACCTAGCACTCGGCAAATGGTATCTGTTTCTGCTTTTCACGTGATGGGAAGGTAGACATTTGCTTTGGATAAGCTTTCCACGTGGAAGGTGGTCCTGATCACTCCACACCTGCCTCTCTTAGAAAACCTCAGTGCGGAGACTTCACCAGTAGCGTGCAGACACAATCACAGCGCCCTGACCGGCGAGCGGCAGGTGCCCGGGACCCACAGCGCGTCGGCGAGGAAGCCTCCGCAGGGGCGGCACCGAGGCCGGGCCCTGGAGCGGACCGGCCCCCCGGGCCGGAGGAGACCCGGGTGAGTCCCATTCCTGCTAGGGGAGGGGGCTGCGCACCAGGCTCCTCCCAGCCCCTCTGAGGGACCCCCCCCCCCCCGCCGGGAGGCCCCCCGCCCGCCTCACGGGGGCCTTTGGCTCCCCTGTTGCTTCGCAAGGCAGGCAGAGCGACCCTTCCCACGGGGCTGAAGGTGCAAAGAAAGAAAATTTTGCCCGTTAAGGTATTTTGAGGGCATATTTTCTCTTGTTATATGGCTTCTATCACAGGGCCGGCCACGATTTTGTGAAGGGCCAGAGAGTAAACGCCTGAGGCTCCATGGCCCGCAGGGTCTCTGCGACGAGAGGGGGCAAATGACTGCGTGTGGCTGGGCCCCCACGCAGTGCTGCTTACAGCGGGCTAGGCCCCGGGCTGTGGTTCGCTGACCCCTGCCCTGCAACGCGGGTGCGCTCGTGACCTAACTACAACCGTTGGGTCTCCCCTTTGAGGACCAAATGGCAGAGCCTCCGGCTCCCAGATTCGGCCTCTGACTGTAGGGCGGTCAAGTTCTCAGGACAGCAGGATTTCATCCTCAGACTGATATGAAGTCGCTCACATTTCAGTCGGTTTGAGAAGCTCTAACATAATTTGCTGCTTAGATTATACTTGGGTAGAACAACAAAACTGATCACCAAGCACCTTCTTCTGCCAGGAATGTAATTACCCTGATAATTAACGGGGTTCGCAGTTGTTTGACTTCTGTTCAGGTCCCCAGCTCTGCCACCGTGGCTGTAGATGCTCTCCCCCTCCTTGAGGCTGTCAGGTGGGGACGCAGGTATCCCTCCTGCGTCCTTCTGGGCCCATCAGTGGCAGACCGCGTACTGCTGTGCTCTCATTGGCCCCTCAGCGCTGCGGCCTGGTGGCTCTCTGTGTTCGTCCATTCTGCAGGTGAGGAACCTGAGGCTAGGGACAGTCGCCCAGCCTGCCCAAAGTCTTACAGTGATAAAAGACTGGACCATGGTTCAAACCTCAGCCTGCAAGACTCCTAGGTCACTGCTCAGCTGCTGTCCTAGATTAATAGAAGGGTGAAGAAGCTTCTTAAAGGCTACAAATAAGAGGCAGAAAGCTTTTGGAGTCTGAAATTCCAAGATTTGTTTATGTTCCTGGGACAGCCCTGGGCACTGTCTTCACATCTGCATGAAGCGCCCCTGCTTCCCCAGGCCTGACCACGCTGCCTCCAATCAGCTAGCTCCCTTTCCAGCACCCCTAAAATGAGGAGCTGTGAGGGCAGCAATGGAGCACTGCCTTCAAGAGCATTAAGTGGGGATGCTCTTCCTTGGCTTGAATCACAATGCTTTCCTAGAAAAGGAATTTCAGAAATAGGACAAAAGATTAAAATGGAAGTTACAATAGATACCATGGTTATTATTCGTTTACTATATCACAAATATTATAGGGAGGGTGGCACTCTTCCATTCCTCAGATACTTGCTAAACCATCAAATGAAGAGAGATTGGGGTGGGGGTAAGACAACATTCAGGGGCAAGGAACAGGGAAAAGTAGGGGAGAGTTTCTCACATTCCCACTTTTCATCTTCCCCTGTGTTGAGGAAATACTTTCACTGTCTTAAAAAATATAGACAATAGACAGAGTGAGAGAGAGAGAGAGAGAGAGAGAGAGTGAGCTCAAGGGTCTTTGATCGATAGACTGACAGACAGTGAGGAGCAGATCCCAAGACTGACTGATTCACTCATTCATTCAGAAAGCAGCCCCTCTGTGCCAGGCACTGAGATTGCAGTGCAGGAGTTACAACAGACTCACTGCTGTCATGACTCTGTAGTCGAGGAAGCAGGGAGAGACTTCCCGTAAGGAGAAGAAGTGCTCCAGGGAAAGGGGTATGTCCTGTGCACCCCTTCCCCTAGACCCTGAGCAATCCCAGGGCGTGCAGGGGTTTTTGCAGAGAACTTGGAGCTGGTGATGACAACAGGAAGGCTGAGGTGGGCGGTCCCAGCAAAGGGACCGTGTGGGCAGAGGCTGTGGTTGGGGTGTAGAAGAGCAGGAGGAGAACATGTGACTGAGGGGGTGTGGGCAACGCCAGGCAGGACTGGCTTTTGGGGGTGATGTATGTGTTTTGACCCTGTTTTTCAAGAACAATTATAAATTGTCAGGGATTTTTGAGCAAGGGGTTGATCTGGTCAGGTTTATATTTTGAGAGAAGACGATCATTCGTGAATCAGAGTGGGTAGAGGAGCTCTGTATTTCTAGCACAACCCAGCCTTCTAAGCTTGGGGGTGTCATCAGCATAAACAGGACTATCTAAGGGAAGAGCCAGTTTTAAAGGAGATGAGTCTAGAGCCATCAAGGATTTCCCATGCTGCTCAAGGTGGTAATGGTAGAAACACACTGATTTCATACATAATAATATGGACGTACAATGTGACTTAGAGCCCACACACCTTTTTCTCATGTGGTCACTTCTTTGCACAGTACTCCTGTGAAGGTACGGTGCAAATATTTTCTCTTTTGTCCAGATGAAGAAACTATTGCTCAGAGAGATGAAGTGATTTGCCCCCAAATCACAGAAAGTCCTGTTTTGTGTATCTACTTTAATTCCCACTCTTGTCATGAGCTTGATGTATGTACAGCAGAGTTCATCACCTTCCCCAGATCTGCTCCTTCAGACAAGAGCCCTGGTAAGAAATCGGGTCAAGAGCCCCAGGCAGTACCCAGGACATGTTTGCAAAATGCAGCCCAGGTGTGTGCCATAACCGTTTCCACATTCCAGCCCTCATTCATTTCAACTATACTATCTATAAGGATGCTGTCATGTTTTTAAGATGTAATTATCTATGCAAGAGCTAAAATATGTGATAGAAAGGTCTCCAAGTGGTTGTTACAAAGTCAGTGATTGCAATGCTGATCGGAATGTCCAAGGAAGGATTTAAAGAGCAATCCATATTCCAGAATTATAAACGATATTCAAAGAAAATAAGCTATAGATTTACTAAAGTAAAATGGTCTTGTTGGATTTTATATAAATTTCTACATGACAGATCATCACCAGGAAATGTGCCCCATGTTCTAGTGAGGCTCTTCATGCCTGAATCTGAAAATACTCTTCTTGCTGGTCTGGTCTAAGTTGCTCTTTCTAGTTAGCAGTGACCCCTTTATACTGAGACGAAGATAAGATTGGATTTCTGTACCTCCATCAGCCAGGGTTTTTCAGATATGTGCGGATTATCTTTAAAAAGTCTGGGGCAAATGTAATCAGGGACCCCTTTGGACCCTTGTAGCACTTAGGGAAAATCCCATGGTTACCCCCTCATTATCCTCCTTTACCCACTAATATTTTGAATAAGAAGAAATCAGGTTCACAGAACACCAAGCCAGCTTCAGAGAAAGAGAACACTACATCCTAAGAACACAGCTAGGAGCCTGGGTGCCCCTCGGTGAAACAGGCAGATTTGCTGTAGTGCTGGGGTGGTGGTGGTCTGGTGAGGAATTTCACATTTTAAATACATGTCACCCTGCACAGCTGTCATAATACTCAATCACTGTTTCGCTCCATCCTCACAGCAACCGTAATGTGGAACGGGGTCGTGTTTACACCCAGTGGAGGCATTACAGGCAATGGTTTGTGCAAACCGGGGCCTGCGCACTGGCCCCCCCACCTGCCCCGGGAAAGGCCCCTCTGTGTCTTAATGATCACAACACTGCCATTAGACGTTTTGCTTTTCTTTTCGCTAAAGCAGAAGTGCTTTAGACCTAGATGTTGTCCGCCTTAACTTTAAACAAAAGAGCTTTTCCTGTAAGAAAACACGAAGAAGTGAGGAAGCAGAGGAGAAACAGACACAACGGACTCTCGCCCCCGCAGCCTGGGGACAGTGTGGTCCACAGCCGCCCCTCCCCGCGCTTCCCCCCGCAGCTGCTTCTCAGGTGGGCAGCGTGGCTTCGCTGCCCGGCTGGGTCAGCCTGAGCCTGGGCGGCAGGGTTTATCACGTGGGTGAGCCGGGTGAATCCCAGGCCCTTTTGGAGCCTGCATTTTTCTCATCTATAAAAGCTGGGAATTACAAAGCCTGCCTTGCTCATCTCAAGGCTTTTTCTAAAAATTACACGAGATAACATGAGGAATGCTTGGAAAAGTGCAAATCCCAGTACGAACCCGAGGGCTTCTTTTTACTAAAAATACTTTAAGCCATGCCTCTTCTGTGTGAGTGTCCTGTGCACGGGCTGCACGTGCTAGCATCTTGCAGGGTCAGGATAGGTGGCTTGAATCCTTCCTTCCTTGAGCAGATTTGTCAGGCGTCTCACACGTGCAGTGGTAGGTGGTGGAGCCACCTGGGAGGCCCGTGGCAAGGTCTTTGTCATTCAGGAGTTGGGATAGAAGAGAAGCACTTAGAAAGCACTGAGGAAGGCCGGGCATAATCACACTCTGGGTGGGGAGCAGCCTGCTCCGCTGGTTTGCCGCAGGTGGGGAAAGGGGGAGGCCTGAGGCCTGGGGAAGAGGAGTCAGCAGGCGTGGTGGTAAGAATGTGAGAAGCTTCCCACGTGAGGACGCAGGGAGGAGAGCAGCCTGACTGGATAAAGGGCTTTGGCTGGGACGCAGGGAAGGCATGTTTGTGAAGGTACTGGGAGGTCACAGGAAGAGGAATCAGGCTCGTCTCATGTATTCGCTTTCTATTGCTGCCAAAGCAAATTAACTTGAAACTTAATGGCCTAAAATAACACCTGTTTGTCATCTCACAGAAACTTAGGCTGGCACATGCCTTGCCTGGGCTCTCTGTTTTTGGGTCTCACAAGGCGGACCTCAAGGTGGTGGCTGAGATGGATTCCTGCCTGGAAGCTTGGGAAAGGAATCGCTTCCGTGCTTATTCCGACCGTTGGCCATAGGAGTTAGCTGTAGGGACAGAATTCGTTTGCTGAGATGATGCCTCCTATGTTTTCTTCCAGCTCTAAGCTGTTGTTTCCTAAACAACACTTATGCCCACATGAGCTGAAGTAGAACACTGTTCTCACATCTACAGCTGTGAAGGAGGTTACAGTGAA